CAGACAAAGAATTTCATATTCTAGAATTGTAGATGAACCTTAAAACATCCGGTCAAATAACTGACAATGGTAAGGTTTTGTACTGTTTTTATTGTCTTGTGTACATGCAAGAAACTAGGAAAATTCAAGCAGAAAATACATCGTTTTCTGTGGAACGGTAAACATGAATAGCTGCTAGTGGTGATGTGCCTACAAGATACTCCACTTATCCATGATATGTACAGCTGTGTCATTGTCTTTACAAAGAGGTTTGTAATTGATATTTTGAACTGTCCTTGGTTGACTCTCTTGAAAGCTTTCAAAGATATGCCCTGTACATATTTTTGTAGTTGACAATTGGTACTTTGTAGTTTTGCCATATCTTGAAAAGTAACAGCACAATAGAACAGTGTCACAGAAGAATTTGTATCAGTTGATGTCTTGATGTGAACTAAATTACCATAGTTTTAGGAAGCAGAAGACCTGTCAGTTCTTGAAGCGAAACATTGACGCAATAGTAGCTTGTTGTAATCAAGTAGAAACTGGAATGAGCTGAAGTTGGCTGTTTTTGCTGTGGGAGGGTCCATTCCAAGTACCTGTGCGGGTGTCTTTTTCTTCAAATCTTTGAAATTAGTGAAGAAACATTTGGACTTTGTTTGGAATTCTAGATACTTTCAATATCTGAATTTTTGTCAGTTTTGATGAATATTTGTGATTCTGAGGACTGTATTTTCATGGATTTTAAAACAATGACATCATACTCTTATATTCTTCAATTCCAAAAAATCTGCATGGTGATGTGGAATGGACTTGAGTATAGTTGTGTTATAGCAACACCTGGTGTCATCAAAGCTGATACAGATAAAAAGATTTGTACTCAATGGGGTAGAAGTAAAATGTGGGTTAAATTACGTACAGAGCCAGGCAATCATGTATTTTTGAGAGATTGAAAGAGATATTATTATGTACATGTATGTGAGATTGTACAGATAACGGATTTCCTAAATGTTTATATATAACCTAAAGGATTATACTTGTGTTCCTGTCAAGATAGACACCTTTCTCAGAGTGGGGACTCCTGAGGTTAAAAAAAAGTCACATTTCCTGATCTGTTGCTCATCTTTCCTTTGTAAATACTGATCTTTACAGGATAAAATGTATTTTGGGGTGATGCTACTTCTTGAGTTCACCAACCCAGTTGTGTCCAAAGTGAAAGAAATTGCATATCCATAAAAAGTATGCTCAAAAATTGTGGCAAGTTCCACATCTCAAACGAGGGTATACAATGTACGTGTACTTTATTTCACATTGGATGCAAATGGGTTAGAAAAGATGCTTACAATAAAGGTCTTTGTGAAAAAAATCAGGTTGTATGGTTTGTTACTGAATATTATGCTTCTTTTAGTGTTACACTTTGCCAAGGTAGATACTAGTGCATTAGTCTCCAAGCAGATGTTGGGGAAGTCGTCGTCTAACAAGCATTTACTAGCTTCTCTCCATCTTACTTAGCCTGACTAAATCTCTCCTAGATCTGACTAAATCTCTCCTATCGGCCAGCCAGGTATTACACCAGCCGCCCCGGACCGGCCACTGGGAGCGCAGATTTAGTCAGGCTACATCTTACTGCCCTTCTACTGGTAACTGTCAGAAAAGTGTGGCTGGTCAGAATTGGCACTGGTTAAGGAGAAAAAAGCCATGCATGTGACTTACTTCTAGCTGTTCCCCGTAAAGTAATGTCTTCTTTAAGTTACACTAACTTACAGTGGCTGATGATCTAACTGGTATCTGTTGAAAGACTTTCTTGAGTTCAAGGCACCCTTGAGTTGCTGACGTAAAACTTTTTTCTAACAATCTTGTCATGCCTTCCTTTGACTAGTTTTTTTCACGGGGCAAGCCTTGGTTATATACTAATATAGCACTTGGTTAAAGTCCTGATCTCTTGCTAAGAAGTTTTGAAGCATTCTTTACCATTGCCTTGCAGTCTACAGATTGCCTGGGAATTCCTACTTTCTCCTTTGATCTAAACAGTATTCTACTTGCAATAAGTGTTGAGCTAAATGGACATCACAGAGTAGGGGATAACTTTTAATTTTATAAACCTGAACCTAACCGCCCATTCAAAACTATACTGAAACTGCCTTGTCACTAGGCAAAACCTTTACTCAGCTATGAAATTTTGTGAATTAAATCAAGTGCACATAATTCAAACCAACAAACAGTATTCAATGCTCATTGCTCTTTATTGAAACATGTGGCATCACTACAAAGCATCTGGTGCAAAAGACAGTTACAAAATTACACATAGGACAATTCTTTCACAAGTGTGTTTGTTAAACTTTAAGGAAAGCTGGTCCAGGATAAATTCAATTCTGTTCATTTTTAAAGTGCTTTAATACTTTAAACACTAGAAAAAGCATGCATTTTGAGAGGAATGTTTCAGCTGTTGCGTTGCTTTCTTAGAATCCACCACGCAGACGCAGCACCAGATGAAGGGTTGACTCCTTCTGGATGTTGTAGTCGGACAGGGTGCGGCCATCTTCCAACTGCTTGCCGGCAAAGATGAGACGCTGTTGGTCTGGTGGGATGCCCTCCTTGTCTTGGATCTTGGCCTTGACGTTCTCGATGGTGTCAGATGGCTCCACTTCCAGGGTGATGGTCTTGCCTGTCAGGGTTTTAACGAAGATCTGCATGCCACCACGCAGACGCAGGACCAAGTGGAGGGTGCTCTCCTTCTGGATGTTGTAGTCGGACAGGGTGCGGCCATCTTCAAGCTGCTTGCCGGCAAAGATGAGACGCTGTTGGTCTGGCGGGATGCCCTCCTTGTCTTGGATCTTGGCCTTGACGTTCTCGATGGTGTCTGATGGCTCGACTTCCAGGGTGATGGTCTTGCCTGTGAGGGTCTTCACGAAGATCTGCATGCCACCACGCAGACGGAGAACCAAGTGGAGTGTTGACTCCTTCTGGATGTTGTAGTCGGACAGGGTGCGGCCATCTTCTAGCTGCTTGCCGGCAAAGATGAGACGCTGTTGGTCTGGGGGGATGCCCTCCTTGTCTTGGATCTTGGCCTTGACGTTCTCGATGGTGTCAGATGGCTCAACTTCCAGGGTGATGGTCTTGCCTGTCAGGGTCTTCACGAAGATCTGCATGCCACCACGCAGACGCAGCACCAGATGAAGGGTTGACTCTTTCTGGATGTTGTAGTCGGACAGGGTGCGGCCATCTTCCAACTGCTTGCCAGCAAAGATGAGACGCTGCTGGTCTGGCGGGATGCCCTCCTTGTCTTGGATCTTGGCCTTGACGTTTTCAATGGTGTCAGATGGCTCAACTTCCAGGGTGATGGTCTTGCCTGTGAGGGTCTTCACGAAGATCTGCATGCCACCACGCAGACGCAGGACAAGATGAAGGGTGGACTCTTTCTGGATGTTGTAGTCAGACAGGGTGCGGCCATCTTCCAGCTGCTTCCCAGCAAAGATGAGACGCTGCTGGTCTGGCGGGATGCCCTCCTTGTCTTGGATCTTGGCCTTGACATTCTCGATGGTGTCGGATGGCTCGACCTCAAGGGTGATGGTCTTGCCAGTCAGGGTCTTCACAAAGATCTGCATATTTCTCTGTTGTCTGAAAGAAGTTACAAGAAATAATCAAAACATGTGACAAGAATTAACAAAGAAAATTCATTGTGTATCGGAACACGTCCTTTTGTTTAGCTTCCTACACATGTAATGCATGGCTGTCTCAAACTGACTAAATGTGGAAGAAACCATGGGGAAAAGAAGTCTTTTAACTGAATACTTTGTGAAAAACTCATTTGATTGTTCTCACTGTTAAATGTTCGTAAAAAAAATCTCCTTCAAAGTCAATTGTGCAAACAAAAATATCATTTCAGCGTAAACATTGCGTCAGCCGCTTTCCAGTCTTTAAAAGAAAGCGGAAAGAGCACTAAAACAAATGCTCTGTCTAGCCACCAAAGACTTGTAGAATCTCCGTTCAGTGTTGTGACCATACTAGCAGAATTTCATTGGACACACAGGCTGGGGGTAAAAAAGGAACTGCGCCACGTACTAGTAATTTCCGCCAAGTCATTATGTCAGCGTGGGGACGCTACTCTCAGGAAGCGAAAATTTGTCACGTACACCCTGTGGTTACAGT